TTACAAGGAAATGTTTAACTATGATTTTACAAGGCTTTAACATATTGTTTACAAGTAATTTATAGCGAAATTTATTAGGTGAACACATTTAGAAAAATATTTTCGTCTAAAACAACGGTATTATGATTCCTCGTAAATTCCTTGTAAATTTACAAAGACTTTACGATGAATCTTTTTCCTCTAATTATACATGTACTTTACAGCAAAGGCCGTTCTTCGTAATTTTACGATGATTTTACAATGAAATATCATTTCGTCGTAAAGTCGTGGTTATGAACGCGTAAGTTTACGAGGAATATTTTTCCTCGTCAAAGAGATGTTTTATTGTAGTGATTACCTTTTATCCAGCGTACAGTTTATATAGACATTTAGTTTTAAAATTATCAATTATTTTAAATATACTATTTACAAACCGGATCAATCTATTACCTTTTATCAGAAATATTTAAATTTATTTGAGGTATACATAATTATCTAAAGAAATCTTATAAATATGATTTTGAAACAAAAAACCAAAAACCCAAGCACACCGGAATTAAACAGAAAACAAAAAAAAATGGAACAGAACCCAATATCAAACCTAAACATATTTCTGAATAAACATACATGTTAATAAATTTATCAAACAAAAGAAATTATGTGTTTCCAAAACAAGGATCATATCCTAGTATGTATTATAAGCTCATACATGGTTGCCTCTGAATCATTAGTGCTTAACTAACAGCCCACTAAGTCCGATTCAGGGAAGTTGAGACAAGATTTTCCTGATTTGTGCCCTTATCAATGGTAACTAACGACCCACAAAGTTCGATTCAAGGAAGTTAAGGTAAGATTTTCCGGATATGTGCATGCACCAATAGTAAATTACCAACGTACTAACGAATGAGATAAAAGTATAATCATAGGGATTTTTCATTTGTTCTTCCGGAATAAAACATCTGAATAGTTATATTGAATTGTGCTTGTTTTCTATTTTAATGAACATCATCCAAATGGTTAATCCAAATACCTTTTAAAAATTTAAACTAAAATAGATGAATAGTCCGAACAGATCTAATTAGTACATCGATAAATATAATTATATCTAAAATAACAGATAGAAAATTTACCATTTTTCCGATGAATCATTTAGCTTCATATTTTTGAGCTTCCAATGAAGCTGTAAAAAATATAATCCTCACCAAAATCTTGAAATAATATTTTCCACTAAAACAATCAAGTTAATTTTCGCGAACAACGTAAATTACAATTGTTTTTTCACAACCATAAATTGCAGTTCTACCAATACCATAAAATTACATAGGCCTGGGCATTTTACCCGGACCCGAAGACCCGACCCGAAACCGACCCGAAAAAATCGGGTCCGGGTAGAAACCGACCCGAGCTAATTACCCTATCGGGTCTTGTTGTGGAGGACCCGCGGGTCTTGGACCCGACCCGGACCGAATCCGAAACCCGATGGGTACCCGAATTAATAGTGTAAATTAAATAAAATGCATTGAGGGGGAGTTGAAGACGGGTTGTTTCTATAGAATGTAAGGGGGTCAACCACTAGGAGACAACGAATTGTTGTTGTATCTCATATAGTTTAATATATATACACATTTTAATATAGTAAAAACACAAATTTTGAATAAAATTTTGAATATTTTCGGATATATAAGTATTTTCAGATTTTTTTTTATATACTTAGGTATTTTTTAGGTCGAACCCGAACCGAACCCGACCCGAAACCGAACCGAATCCGAACCGATAAATTCTAATTACCCGAATGGGTCCAACTATCTAAGACCCGACCCGGACCCGGTACGACCCGAACCGAACCGAAACCGAAAATTTGAAATTACCCTATCGGGTCCTAAACTCCTAGACCCGAAAGACCCGGACCCGAAAGGACCCGACCCGAACCCGACCCGACTACCCGAATGCCCAGGCCTAAAATTACATTTCTACCAATTACATAAATCACATTTTTTGCAAAGCCTATAAAATGCTCTTCTCGCAAAAACAATAAAATCACATTTTCATGTCAAATCCGTAAAAATATGTTTTCTCACCAAAACTTACAATAATATTTTTTCTGTAGCAGTAAAATAAACTTTTACCACAATTGTTAAAGCGCATTTTCTACCTAAACCGTTCTCTCCAAAACTCCAAAATCACATTTTCCCACCTTAACGCAAAATTATTTTTTCTCGCCATAATGCAAAATTATATTTTCCTGCCAGAACCATAAGATCATATTACCTATTCAAAACTATAAAATTTTATTTTCTCGCCATACTGTAAAACTGCATTTTCTACTAAATCGCAACAACATATTTTTCCAAAAACGTAAAATGGTATTCTTTTAGCTCAAAGTGTATAATTTTATTTTCTGTCAAAATCGTAAAATTATATTTTCCAAATAACACTGTAAAATCGCATTCTCCCGCTAAAAGCATATCGAATTCTCCCATTAAAACCATAAAATCGTACTTTGTCACCAAATCCGTAGAATCACATTTTCTGCTAACTGTAAAATCATATTATATACTAAAACTGTAAAAGAAAAAATTGTCAGAACCAAGATATAGTTTCTAGTAAATTTAAAATAATATATTTTTCAAGATTGTGAAATTGTAATTTAGATGAATGATACAATCTAATATTGATAATATTAAAATAACATCAAATAAGATTATGTTAATATTTTTATTCATTTTATTTAGAACAAGATAAAAAGTGGTAAACAAACAAAAAAAAAAATTATATAGATGATTCATCTGGAACAAACAATCCTAAATAACTTCTCAAATGCCATCTAAATAAATCACAGCTAAATGAAATCATCTTTAAGGAAATTAACAAACATCCCTTAAATGTTTATATAAATGGAACTTGAAGCAACAATGAGATAAAATTTGGAAATTGATGATCGTAAAATGATTAAAAATGTGTATAACTACTTCAACACCATTCAGCCAAGGAGGTATTCCATATGTTTCAATTTGTTGTATATTCTAGTGTTTTCACACATATTAATGAATATATAATATATGCATATTTTTTTTGTGATTATCATTTTCCTATAAATCTAAACTAATAAAAACTAATAAGTGTAATTAAGTTTTTTGGAAGTTGTAATTAATCATTATTATTTGATAAAATATATATTTTTTTGTCAACATCTTTGTATAAAATCCCGCAGGCTAAATTTACAAACAGTATCAAGCCTAAATTAATACAATCGGCCCAACGAATACCAGACATTAAGATAAACATGAGTGCATGAAGGACATGTGTCCTCTGTCGTGGCTTCGATTCCAGAAACGACGTGAGAAAGCGGCGCCGGATTCTCGCCGGACGCAAACACCATCTCCAACCTCGTCTCGCTTGTAACTGCTTATTGCTCCTCCTTCCTTCATCGCCGTCGATTCATAAAGATCTTTGCTCCAATCACTAGAAATTAACTCATGAAAAGCATCAGAGAAACACGAACACAAAACTTTGCCGGAACACTTTCTGAAGAGAAAGGTCCGCCTCATCTAGCTCTGTCCCTAGTCTTCTTAGCTTATACAAGTCTTAGGTTTTGATCTTTGAGGAGACTTCACTTATTTATGAAGCGAAGATTGATTCTTACCAAGAATCAAGCACCAATCTTGCTAGCAAAGAGAGAAAAATCTCCAGAAGCAAACGGTAAAATAAAGATCCAGAACTAAAGAAGGAGAAAACTGAACACAAAAAAAAAAAATCTTCAACCTCTAATCCGAGAAAGTTTATTCATTTAGATCTACTCGGATTTGGTTGAAAACACATTAAAATCGTCAATGCGAAAACGATAATTCCGCAACCGGAAAAACAAAATTCGCCAAGCGAAAGCAAATATTTACATCAAAAGACAAACCTAGCTCTCTCCCTCTCTAATTAAACTCTATCCTCTGAAAGATTTAAGTTTGGTAAGAGGTATAAAGTTTTGGAAAGAGAAACCTCTCTTTAAATGAGGAGAGAAGCTATCTAGAAAACTTTAATTATTGTGAATAAATATACTTTAGAAATGTAAAAATATTTTTTTTTTAATATTTTTTTTTTACATTAGGAAATCCCCTATATATTATTTGAGAATCATTTAAAAAGTTGTAACCTTAAGTTTGTAAGAATTAAAAATAACTCCAATCCTACGTGGCATAACTCTTTGGCTTCTATTTCAAATCCCAAGAATTCTAGAGCATGTGATATAAGGTATAGTTTAAAAATTATATTCTCTAGCAATATAATATTCTGTAAGCTATAGTTGGTCGTATATATCAAATATTTATTGTTTCGCATGCTTTCCTTAAATAACAATTAATGATTTTAAACAATAAAGATTTGATAACAATCTGTATACTTTTTCATTTTGTTTATTTCTTTATTATTAAAATAAATTACACAATTACATTAATCATATAATAAAAATCTAGATTGAGAGAAATATGGTGGTGGATTGAGAGAAATATGGTGGTGCAAAAACATCGTGGTGGTAGATTGAGAGAAATATGGTGGTGCAAAAGCTATGAATGTCATTTGTTTCATCTGAGATTTGATTTTTATGTTTGTTATTGGTTATTGTTTCTTTGGCAGCAGACAAAGCCTTGGATTTTAAAGCTTCTCTTTGCAATAAAGTGAAAGGTAGTCTCACTCTTTACATAGCCACTGTGATTTATGTTGTGTATGAATACTTTGAATTTCCAAGTAGAAGGCGTGGTGTTTAATTCTCAGATGATAGAGAACAGAGATAATGGATAATGTGACTATAGAAGCTCTTAAATAGTGGATGCGCTCTGTTACTTCTTTTTTCGATTTTTTCCTTAGTCTCTTTGAGCTTAAAGAAGGTCCTGTAGTACTAAAACATTCCCTCAAATTGCAAGCTAATTGTCTTACTTTTATGCAGCATCATGGCAAACAGTTAAAGTTTTCTTCAGTCACATGAAAACAATAAATTTCTTCAAAGTGTCTTAATCTAAAAAAGTCTTTAGAAAATGTTCACATATATCAACTTCCTTGAGTTTAAACCATTAGCGATTGCAGAAGCTGCACTTATTCTGAGCTGTGCTATACAGTTTCCATGTTTCTTTAAGGAAATCTGCCATTGCACATATGTTGCAAATCAATACATGAGAGAGAGGTCGTTGAAGAAGAAAAAGGGAGCAACGAAACAGCAGTAAACGTGCTTGATATAGCAATTCTCGAGCTATGAAGAAAGCAATAAGATTATCACATCACAGATTATTAACGACTTCACCTAAGAATCTATTTCTAGTCTTCCTTCAGAGACAATCTCCTTAGTAGTTATGAGTGCGTCGCTAAAACCTAATCAACTGACCCAGTCTTAAACTTTGCTGCTATTAGGACAACTGTATGTTGTTTTGTGGTATAATCTGGTCTTTTATATCGCTATTTGCTTTAGGGTTGATTCAGCTAAACATGGGTCATTTGCTTGCTCACTACCACTACCGAATATCTTGCCAGGTCAGTAAGAAAACAAGCATTGTTTGTTGTTGTTTTCAGTATTGTTTATACTATTTATAGGTCGTTAGTTAGAGAGAATCTTGGTCCTTCCGATAACCATGACTCCTTGCTCTGGTAACTGGTAACTCTAACATACCTCCCTTAGTGTGTGTTTATAATATTAAGTTGGCTCCATCATAGTTTAGGTTGGTTTGATCATAGTTGTTTTTATGAGCGATTGCAACCAGGTTCAGAAGATGGATGTTACTCACCAATAAACTCTTGGAAAGCACACTCCTCTTCATACTCAACAAATACAATATTTGGAGAAGAAATGCCAACGACTTCCTATGACACGCTGCAAGTGGTTACAAGACAATATGGACCGTGAGGTGGCAGCAAAGAATTTGGTATTACATACTTGGGAAGACACTTAAAATTTTCATGGTCATCCAATTGCATCTTCGCTTGAGTTTGAGTGCTTTGTCCACTCTTGGTTCATGACGAATCACAAAGTTGATTTAGATCAGTGTTGTACTAGCTACTAGCTTGGCTTCACATTTTCTGCCTTCGTTTGTCCAAAGTTGTTTTAGATAACTGAAAACAAAACTATATATAAAACAGAAAAAATTGCATGTAAACTTTTGTGCTCTTCAGTTTTATCTTCAGTAGTAGTACACATGTTCTTATATCTTGTGCTCTTATGCTAGATGATATGACCAATTGACCATGCAAAGTTGATATAAAAAACAAAACGGAGGTGAGTAATGAGAGATTCAGAGAATCAAACTTCAAATACTGATTTTAAATGAAAAAGATTGGTAAATCTCACAAACTCCCAAAAATGGTTTTTTTTTTTACCAAAAAAGCAAATAATAAAAAATGAACAAAAGATGTTCCATTAAAAGGTAAAATGCTTTTATATCATTATATATATATATATTAATTAAAGAATAATAAAACAGATTAATTTTATTCTTAGAAAATAATTTTATTTTAATTGGAAAAATTATTTTGTTTTTTATATTTTTTAATTTTGAAATTAGAAATATTCTTTTGGAGACTATTTTAAATTTTTTTATTTTTAATTAATTATTACTTATAGCATAATTTATATATAACTAATTACTACTTCTAGCATAATTGATATGTTTATCATATTATAAATTTATATCATCCCATATAGAGTTAAGTGATCTTACATAGACTTTTTTAGTTTATTTTCACAAAATAGTCCTCAAAGAGAAAAATGACCAAAATAAATTTTTATTAAAGTGTAAATATGCATTTATATCTCCGGGTTAACTAATCTAGATCTAAGATAGACCTAAAAACGTTTTTGTCACAGATATAGACCTCAAAATAAAAATGACCAAAAATAGACTTAAATTTTTTATCAAAAATAAGTAAATATATATTTATATTTTTTGGGTTAACTAATCCTAAACTTTTTTGTTTAGAGTTAAGAAATGAGGTTTTTGGGCTAGGATTTCAAATTTTTAAAAACAGAAAAAAACTTAAATTTTCAAAATAAAATATACTATTTTGGTCATTTTAGTTTTTCAGGTCTATTTTGTGATAAAAACTTAAAAATGTCTATTTGAAATATTTGCCTTTTTAACTACATATAAGTATAATATAATTTTAATAAATTAGTTAAACACTAATCCGCGCGAAGTGCGGAAAAAAACTCTAGTTTTACTATAAAAGTTTCAGTGTTTTACTTCGGAATATATACATAGTACATACAATAATAGCAGCCCACATGTTATCTAATGGGCCTCAAAAAAAAGACGAGGGAATTGATATTTTCTGGATGGGTCCGAAGCCCAATTACTTTTCTTCCCTTGGTATCAAGAAACGTAACAATGAAAGGTGATGGCATAACTGTAAAAATACTTTAATACATAGTAATAATTCGTAATGTTGTATACTCTCTCAGGTAAGTTAATAAGTAAAAAAGCCTGAAAAGATAATTCAGACAGACTAATTGATTAAGAGAAAATTTTAGGGTTTTGTTAGATTCTTTGCGACTATGAAAAGCGACGATGAGATGGCCAAAGTTTCGACGGAGGAGGAAACGAGAGAGGAATATGAAGAAGACGAAAGCGATACCGATAGTGGACGCGCATGGAGTGTCGACACAGAAGAGGATGAAGGAGTCGTGAGACCTCCTAGAATTAATTATTTAAGCATGCAAGATCCGGAACCGGAGTGGGATGTGGACAGCTTCGATGGTTACGAATGTTACGACTCTGAGGACCGTAAAAGCTTCTCCGACGAGGAGTACGAAGAGTTCCGCCAATTTAAGATACAGGCCTGGAAGAATAGGGTAACGTAACTAAACCCTCTATGTTATCCAATGAATTACATCAAATTTTTAATTTCGTTTATGTATTTGATATTTGAAGGGATTTTTTGAAGAAGATCCATTCAGGTTCATCTTCCCCCTTACTGATCTGGAAGAACCTTGGATTGACATGACCACCAGGGAATATTTGGCGTATATTGCCTCTTTATGTGTTAAGAAACTCAATGAGGAGAAGGTGAGAGTAGTCATCAATTCAAATATAAAATTTTCTGTTTGTTTTAACTTCTGCTACCTACATATATGATGTGTGTGTGTGTGTGTTATTTACTTAGAGTGCGAGTGTGGAATTTGTAAGCATCATTAGAGGCAATATGAAAGTAGGAGATGGGTGGAAGCTGTACATCACCTTTATGGCTCGAGAATATCCCAATGGTCCTCTAGTGGAGTATCAAGCCAAGGCCATGGATTTTGGAAGAAAACCCCCCTTTCCCATCCTCTGCAGACCAGCTCCTAACTAACTCCTAATCTTAGATTCACATAGGTATATTCATATGCTTAGTCATTTATTGTTAGTGTCAGATAACATGGTCATGATAACATTGATGCATGTTTATATAGGGTTAGAAGGACTAACGAATTTATCATGACCATGTTATCTGACACTTAACATGTGAAAACCTTCCAAATAAACAAGAGAATTATCCAAATTCGTCAGGTTGTTGATTATGTTCAATTAGACTAACGAATTTGGGTCATTCTCTTGTGTATTTGGAAGGTCTTCACATGATGCCCACTTTTTATCATCAAAACATACAATGAAAGCTCTCACCGCAGCATGTCCAAAATCCAAGTAATAATCTTAATTGAGTCTATTGTATATAATCACCAATTCATCATGAAAGGATGATTCTTTCCCTTACAAAATTACTAGAGATTTGCTTTTCGTAATGACTGCTTTGATACCGTCAAAGAGACTTTAATATTTTAAAGATCAAGGTCATTGAGAGTTAACCAGTGATTGATGAATTTTATCATTGAGACTCTTAGGTCAAGCCGTGGTCTCAGATGAGATTGGGAGTAAGTAGCATATCACCAATTATGGGAAGTACCAAAAATATGTTTCCTCTACAAATATCACTAGGGAAAAGCTGTGCTATTTTAAAACGGGAAAGCAAGCGACAAGTAAATAGCAAGAAAGCCTTGTGAATAGCTTTTCTTTTACATTATCTTTAGAAAGTATTGAATTTTTTTTTTGACAACATTAATCGAGATGGTATCATCTATTCAAAACTCGTGGGAAAACTTGTAATCATTAGCCCTGTTTCAGACAGATAAATTTGAGATGGAATCATCTATTCAAAACATGTGTGAAAACTTGTAATCACTAGCCTTGTTTTAAGGCATATAGCACTAATATTACCGATAGTTTGTGGACTTTGTAAGATTGTCAGGTTTTTCCTTAAAGATTTAGTTTTTTTCTACTGCATTCCGAATACCTTGTTTAGGGAAACGCGAATAATCCGAATGTTAGTAATATTTTTGGCACTGAAACTTCTGATCCTACTTTTTAACTTATACAATACAGTTGTGATGTTTAATAATGGTTGATAAATAGGTTTGCTATTTATTTATATTTTGGACATTTAAATAGGAGGATACCTTCAATTGATAATCTGCATTCAGGAAATGATCATGATAAAGTTGATGTTTATACAACTCAAATAATGTTAGGTTGTTGATTACTAATGTTGATGATGATTGTGATCGACATTTTGAATTCAACTAAGTGGAGAGGTTCTAATATGGTCATGATAAAAATTTATGTATATAGAACTTATAATTAAATTGTTGATAATTAATTTTGATGATGATCATTTTTCGAATTCTAATTCAACAAGCCTTCAGTATGGATTGGATTCAAAAAAAGTTCTTTTTGATAGTAAACACCTTAGGGAATCAAAACATAAATTGTAAGAATATAAAAATGAAGGAAAACATAAGGAAAAAAAGGAAATAATATGTTCATGTTGATATAACCAATGTCAAATGAAGAAACTAAACAAAGTAAAAAAAAATTGTTGATTCTCTTGTGTGTTTGAAAGGTCAACATGATGCAACTTTTCATCACCATATATATGCAATGAAAGTTATGTCTAACTCATATATATAGTATGTACAATTTTTCCAAAGTCATTTTTTTCTCAATTTCACATTGACAGTGAATATATCTATATAAAAAATCAACAATAGCATCCAAAATCATACTAACCAAACAATTGGTCCACAAACAATCAATGATACATTCAAAAGTTAGCTTTACTTTTGTAATGAAACATAATTGATGGTATATTTTTATGTACCGATTCAAAATCTTATATCACCCATTTTTTCCTAGACAAACATGAAAAAGAAGACGAGAAGAGATCCAAACTTAAGAAGCAACGAAGATTAAAAATAGTCATAAATCTTCATAATTCAAATTCCAGCCTTATTTGGATTGTCTTTTTATCTTCAGCGCCCATACCACTTGATCCTCCTCTATAACTGTCCATTTGCTTGACATACACAAGAAGAAAACGAATATTGTGATATATATAAAGTAATACAATTACATTATTCATATTGATAAAACATTATTCATATTCATAAAACTCAAAAAAAATCAAAGACGATCCAGGCATACGAAACACCAAGGATTTAAGAAGAAAATAAAAAATTATGATGCAAAAGTGTCTAATGAACAGCTTCTATCATAAAGGCACAAGAAAACACATATTATAATAATATATGGGCTGATCTACGGTGTTAACCTCGGGGCAGATACCCCTGTTACTTTATATAATTTATTTAGTTACAAATGTAATTATTGATTTATCTAGATAATTTGGTAAATCTGCTCGTTACTAATTATCTTGTTGGGTTGTTTATGTTTTTTTTTGTTAAGTTTCTCTTTTTGACTATTTGTCTTGTCATGTTTCCACTATTATTCAGTAATATTAATTGTATTTTGATGAAGCATATTAATTGTATTTCACCTAGGAATTTCACTTAGGTTCATTTTATTATTCACAACTTTCTTTTCTTCGTTTAACATATTTTCTTCCTTGGTTTATTTGAACTCTTTTGATTATATATTCACTTTTAGATTTTTATGGAGTAAATTTAAATATAAATATACATTTTATATATGTTTTAAGTATTTTGGATTGTGAAAGTATATTACTTTGTTTAATAATGTTAGTAGAAATTTTTATAAAATATTAGGACAAATTATAAAATCTGCCATGGTTAAACAATATTATTTACTAGATTTTGACCCGCACTCTCCAAGGGCGGGTATTTTTTTTTTTGAAAAAAAGCATTCAAGTAATTCTGGTTTTTGTAATTATTTTTATGAAAATTTTAATTCTTAAAAAACAATTAAAACAAAAAATGTATATTTCTTTTTTAAAAACGGATCCAAATCTAGTATTTATATAAATAAATTAATAGTCTTCAATAATTTTAAATTAGTTAATAATTAAATAAAATCCCACTTAATAAATAAGTTTTAAAAGAATAATCCATTTAAAATCTGTTACTAAATTTTTTTTTATCAAAAAATTACTAAATGAATTTGAATGAATATTTATTTCAATTAAAAGTCCACTTAAAAGCCATTAAATGTCCACCTAATAAAACACATTAAAACTGATTTCTCAGAAAAAAAGTTGAGATTATTAAATAATATAAAAAATAATTTTGGTGGAATACTTTTAAAAAGAGTAAACGTAACCGAAAAGTATGTAATAGATTTTTAATCATAATTCTAGCATTTTAACAATATGCATTTGGTATAAATCAAAAAGGAAAGAATAACTGTGATTATATAATGTATATAAATGTCAGTATTTTTGTACACGAAACAATCTGAGAAAGAAGTGGTACCGAGAATCGTGGACAGGAAGTTACAAAGCATACGTTGATTAATAGAAGACATTTATGGTAATTCAATTAGTTTGATTTGCTTTATATTTATTTATGTAGGTCAAGTGGCAAAAAGAGTAATATGCCAGGTAATAGTAGGGGCAAAAGATAAGCATGTTTCTGTTTTAATAAATTAGATTTCAGTATACTGTAAAGATTTTAATTAATAATATTAAATTTATATTACTTTCTTATTAACTAATTAATATTGTCAAAAACAAATTAATTTAATGTTTCTATAATATTATTTTAAAAGTCAGTTGGTAAGTGTCACTCTTACGTTAATTCTTAGAGTGATTAATTACAACGATATCTTTAATGATTCAAAAATATTATACACAATACCATTGTTATGATTTTCTACTTTTATTTTCCTTTTTATTTCATAATTATTTTCTTTTGGTTTTCTTTTTATCATAATGTATATATACCTAAATTAATTTTGATATTTTTTTAATATTACAAAAATTAAAAAATTACAAAATATTAATAAAAATGAACTAAATATAACTAATAACATTTAATATGATTTAGATATTTAATATTCAAATAGTTGTAGTAAAAATGAAACTTAGTAAATACCAAAATAAAATCAATAAATAAATATACTGAAAAAATATTAAATTTTAGCTACATAATAAATAACTAAAATATATTTACAAATTGAAAATAAAAATGAAATAAATACAATTGATAACATTTAATATAATTTTAGATATTTAATATTCAAATAAATGTAGTAAAAATGCAACTTAGTAAATACCAAAAATAAATATATGCATAAGCACGAAAATACTTAATTATTAAATATATTTTCTCTCGTCAAATAATATGTTTGGTTCCACCACTAATAATATACCCAGTTCTTTCTTGAAGAAACAATGAAAAATAAGAAGACAAAGAAGAGATCTACATACTTAAGAGATGAAAAACACCTATCCCAAAATAGAAGAAAAATATGCTACTATTTTGACCCTAACAAAGAAGATAAAAAAACATTGAGTCTTTGTTTAAATACTTATGTTTCTTGTTTTCTTTGTGATTTTTGTAAAAAAAAACTCTGAAAATTTGGTAATAGATCTTTACATTTTTACCACAAAAAAAAAAAGATAAAACCTCCTTACCCAAAATAACTTTTAGAAATTAGTTTTCTGTGTGTCGTTATTATGTTAAGAATAGTTCGTTACAGTTGTATCTTTAATAATTTTTAAAATATACATAATGCCATTATTATGATATTCTATTTTTATTTTCCTTTTTATTTCATAATTTGTTTTATTTTAGTTTTCTTTTTATCATAATATTTTCTTAAACTACTAAAACATAGAAACTATATATATATTTTTCAATATTTTATTTAATAACTAATCATGAATATATTTTAAAACAAAATTTAGCTTCAATATTTTAAATTTAGATCAGGTATAGTTCTAACATCATCCGGATATCCATCCCACAATGCCTGTAAATGAAACATGACATAGTCAATGCATCGAACGGCTCGGATCAGATCTTCTGACGAGCGGGGGGTTTGTTTTGAGTTTACACTTGCTTGCTATATTTTTATTAACTTGCCTGTTTTGAGAATCGATAAGCAAACGAGGTAACTGATCCGCAACACTATATCATAAAGAGAGTAGTCATTTGTTAATTACAGGTTCGTAAATAAACGGGCCAGAAGTTATCGCAAAATTACAATAGGGCTTTATATCAGTTTGGCCCATATATATTTGCTCACAAGCCCAAAATAATCTTCCGACCAAGTCACGTGTGCAAATAGGCAGGGGCAGGCCTGGGCGTTCGGGTACCCGTTCGGGTTCGGATCGGGTATTTCGGATATCGGTTCTTTTTTGTAACACCTCTTAGGTCCCATTTTAAGAAATTCTTAAAGTCGGATCGGGATCGGATATAACACATCGGTTTCGGTTCGGGTTCGGATTATACTGAAGTTACCATATATCATTTGGGTTCGGGTTTTACTGTATCGGTTTCGGATTAACTAAAGTAAAATTCAAAGAAAACAAATAAACAAACACTCATAAATTGACTAGATAAGAACTAAAAAACATGTCTCTCAAAATTAATAAACTCAAACTTAGTAAAAATGTTTGCAACAACACACTAATACCGATAATAGCTACATAAAGTTTTAAAATGGAAAACAAACTGAGACAAAACCGTAAACAGATTACTATGATTCATATGACACAGAAGAATTAGATTGATTTCTGAAAATCAAGTCCTTTTCGGATTGAGTTCTTGAAATCAAAGATGGTGGAGGAGATAGAGAGAATTGCATGTTTGTGTTTCTGAACCTACTCTTCGATCAAACACCTTATTTTAATAGGAGATTAGGTTTTTGAAACTAGAAGAAGAGGAATCGCCCCTAAGGTTATTATGAAATGTGTGGTTGTATCTACACTTAGTTGTGTCTTAGAATTGAAAATAACAAAGTGTGGTTGTGCCTTCTTGGAAATTGTCAAAATCAAATAATGATTAATACGTGTATATACTTACTGTACATTATACATATAATCGGTTATTTCGGGTTTTAGTTCGGATATCGGATTAAACCGAACCCGAACCCGATATCCAAAGTATCAGCATATCAAACCCGATCGGGTATTTTGAAAGATCCATAACCGGTCGGGTTCGGGTTTTTCGGTTCGGGTTCGGGTTCGGTTTCGGATTATGGATAATATGCCCAGGCCTACGCAGGGGTGAGAGAGATAAGGACACATCGATAAACACATCCAACGAATACCATTCAATATTGTCCGTCCCCAATTTTGTGCGTTGAGAGATATTTTCTAGGGTTTGCTCGATTCTCCAGAGACAGACGATGTTAGGCGACGATTTGCCGGCGAAACGAGCTGCGACGGAGGAGGAATCTGACTCTTCTGTCACGAAAAAGCTTAAGGTCGAAGATGAAGAAGACGACACACGCATGGAAGAGGACAGCGATACAGACAGCGGACGCGCATGGTCTGTCGACACAGAAGAAGAGGACGAAGGAGTGGTGAAATCTCCTACGATTAATTATTCAAACATGATAGTTCCGGAACCGGAGTGAGATAAGGACAGCTTCGATGGTTACGAATGTTACGACCCTGAGGACCGTAAACTTTTCTCCGACGAGGAGGAGTACAAAGAGTTCCGTGACTTTAAGATCCAGACCTGGAAGAATAGGGTAAACTAAACCCCCTTTTTGCTTAATCCAATTTTAAAATTAAATTTTTAACCTTTTATTGTGTATTTTTGATTTTTAGGGTTTTTTTGAAGAAGATCCCTTCAGGTATATTTCCCCTCTTCCTGATCTGGAACAACGTTTTAGAAACATGACCACAAGGGAATATTTGGCGGGTATTGCTTCCTTGTGTGTTAATAAACTCAACGAGGACAAGGTTAGTCATTAATCGCTTACTTTTTCGTTTCATTTTGATACTCACTGATAGATAGGATGTGTGTTTGTTTGTGTGTTTTACTTACTTAGGGTTCCACTGTGGAAGTTGTATGCATTGTGAGAGGTAATCTAAAAGTAGGAGGCGGGTGGAAGCTCTACATTACGTTTATGGCTCGAGAGTTTCCGAGTGGGCCTCTCGTGGAATATCAAGCAAAGGCCATGGACTTTGCAGGAGGCAAAAAACCTCCCTTTCCTATTCTCTGCAGACCAGCCTCTAGCATATTATAGTCTATCTCACTCTCATAAGGTATTTTTATAAATTTAAGTCTTTTGTTCTCATTGTTATTACTTAGTAGCTGTGTCAATATTTGTAGAGTATGTTAAATTTTGTTTGGATTTACTTGGGAACTGTGTCAGATTTTTGTCGATCAAGTGATGTAAACAGATAGTGTGATTTACTTGTGGGGACTAAACTTATGTAGGTTCTGATGATTTTTAGTTTATCCGAATTTCTAATCCTTCAATATAATCATTGCAGATTGGGTATGTTGTTACTGGACTACGAGGAAGACCAAGATCATAATGTATTAAAATGTCTTTTGCGTTGTTAAAACTTTGTCATAAAGTTATGGATTTTAGTCATGGATGCTATATTATGTTTAATGCTTATTTTATATTTTGGATATTTAAATGTGCGGAGATGATTTCTGCGAGATTACATTACAATAGCTATGACAAAACTGATGTTTAGTAAGTTTCGGTTTATTTTTGGACTTGTGAATTTGGTGACTTTCTTGTGCATTTAGAAAGGTTCCCATGATGCAACTTCATCAGTTTTATGTATATAGTGAACTATGTATAACATATATGTAACTAATGTACATATAGTGATCAGAAATTTTTGGATGCTGAAGGAATTCTCATACAGTATGGTTATTAGAAATAAGAAAACATTATACTGAAAATTTGGTAATAATTGAGTTTTAAAGTATTGTAAAACAGTTATCTGATCATGATCCAAAAGAAAATGGATTGGAATTAAGGAGTCAAAATATAATCCAGACAAAAGTAAAAACAAAGGAAATTAGAAACGAGTGATACGATGCATTGGTCAATAACGTAGACTTGTTTTTACTTCTTCTTCTCAAGCAGTTCGTCTAGATAAAATATATCATCAGTTTTCCCGTAATTATGATTCTCCCATGACCATTATCTCCCCAGTCAGTCCCCCACGTGTTCTGCACATCAAAAAACACTTCTCCAGATAGAGTAAGTCCATGTGCTACAATAATGACAACATGTCTCTTTAATCCATCTACTGGTTTAGGTACCCTGTAAATCCCCTGAAATCATTGGATATTTAAGTTTATAATCAAATTGATAGTATGTTATGCAAATTAAAAAAAAAATTATGAACTTACATCTTCAAGATCATAAGATCAAGCGTCATATCAAGTGTCATGCCAACAGGACCTTTAGTCTGCATCAAACGGACGATGAATTCTGGTGTTGCATCTTTTACGGGAAGAAAAGAACCTCTAACCGTAAATGTCTTTGATTTCTACAAAACAGACAAGAAAAAAGATAGTAATGAATCAATGGATATAAAAGTACATAAATACAATCGACTAAAAAAGATTGGTGAATGATTTACCGTCCTTTCAGTGTCTTTCTTTTTCTCAATTCCAACTTCACGTACATGTTTCATTGCGTTCTTGAGAGATCCAACAGCCATACTACTTTCACTTGCTTTTTTATGAGCTTTTTCGTTTTCCTTCAACTTCACTTTCTTGGCAAAGCCGTCAATGTCCAATTCTTTGTACTGGTTGATGTTGTCATTGTCTTTGTTGTAAGCGAATTGGAGAATTCGGCCAAGAACTATTGCCCAACAGATTTCTATATTTTAATTACATTACAAATAATCTTCGGATTAATACTAGAGTAAAATTTGACATTGGCATTACTATAAAAAAAATCAAAGTAATATAGAATCTTTTGAATACCTTCGATTTGACAAATAATATGGCTAAGCAAAAGTGGGTGTATCAGACACCAATCAAAAAGGAGTCGGCTTCCATCAGAGAAAACCTAATTAAAAAATATTCATGTAATAAAGATAATAATTAGGGTTTAATCTTAAAGCAAATAACTACACAGTAATTAAAAGCTATAGTACGTACCCGTAGTGGTGGTGGCTGAGGTACATTATTTTGTTGGGCAAGATCTTGTCTTGATTTTCGGTTAGCTTCCGCCTCAAGTCTCCTTAAATTTGGACCCTTGTCTTTACCGCTACCTCTTGCACCTACACCACCAATGCCCCCGTCACCAGCTACACCACCAATCCCTCCGGCACCACTGCCTACGCCACCAGTGTCCACGCTATCACTATCACTATCCATTTCCTTGAAACACACATAACAAAAAAAATCATATTATGATGATATACTCAATCAAAGCGGAACATATTATATGTATGTACTATGATACACTTAATTTCTTCTTTTACCGAGTCATAAACCAAGTTACCGAGTCGTTCTAAAAAATCAAAGTTTATTCAAAATATTTAAAAGAAACCCATTTTGATGCAAAATGTCTAATCAACAACTTGTATCACAAACGCACAATAAAACATGATATACCCAGATTTTCATTTTTCTTGAATAAATTGAAAAAAAAAAGAAGTAGACTAGAAGAGATCAAAACTCAAGAAATACGAAGGATTGAAAAAACAGTCACAAATCTTCATTATACAATTTTGTCCAAAAAATCTTTGTTATACCAAACACACATATTATGATATACTCAAATTAGAACATAGTATATTATTCATGCTAATAAAACTCAAAGAAATCAATACTAAACAAGATCCAGACCTAGGAAACACCAAGGATTTAAGAAAAAAACAAACAGTAACAAATTTTCAGTCTACAACTTTTCAAAGTGTAACCAAGAGGTCTAAACTTACGAAAAACCAAAGATTAAAAAAAAACATAAATCTTCGAAACCTTATCTTGTTCAGGACTTTTCAAAGTAAAGTATATTATAACCAGATTTTCGAATAAACAATGTCTAATCATGCTTTCATCTAAAAGTGTGATCGTAAAACAAACACCCAAAAAGCAAAAACACATGAAATTTTCACACTGTAATGAGCAAAAGTTAGTGACGAGCAAAGGTTCAAAACCCAAAATTTTTAAGAATCTAATAAACACAGATTTTTGGAACAAGGAAGGATATTGGGAGAGAACCTTGGAACCCTAAGGTTTTTTTCTTTTGAGAAATGAGTAATGACAAAACCAGATTTACTTTATAGGGAGAGAGAGTGTACGTATGAGGTAGGGACTGAGACGAGATGGACAGGTTGATGGTTAAACAAATATCTCTGGTCAGTGTCAATTAATTTATTATTTTTATTTTGACAAAAGTTAGTCCCCTTAGAGCATCCCCATCAGTGAACCTGATGGGGTGGGGTTCATAGAAAAAAAAATTATTATTTTTTTTTTGGTTTGTTTTTCCAAAAAAAAAAAAAAATTAATAACGGACCAATCCCGGAACGCCACGTGGCGAACCCCGTGTGAACCGGGTTCATCCCGACGAACCTCCAAGATCAAGGTTCACCAAAATCAACATATTTTATTATTATTTTTTCTTGATCCGCGTGTGAACCTCTCCCATGAACCTCTAATGCGGATGCTCTTATAAACAAGTGACATCATTATCAGTTCATAAATAAAATAATAATACCAGCTTTGTTATTTTTAGGGTTTGTTTTGTAATCACATCTTCATTATTTGTAAATTGAGTTAACATGCAAAATTTTAAATATTTTTCTTGATATACTCTGTAAATAGTCCCCACACAAGGAAATATTTGCTATCAAATTTATATGTATTATCTTGAAAACATTGTAATATCTTATGTATTGAATTCGCTTTTTCTAATGTTGCTTCTCTGCTTAGAATTTAGAGACTTGAACCTGTGTCTAGACAACTGTGGAGTGAAAAGAAATGCCTTCTCTTTTTCTTGTGAGATTCAAATATGTGACTTGTTTCTGACAAAACCGGTTGTTATATAGTAGTCACCAAACCTGACTAATTATAATTCTTCTTAATTTTAAGCCTAGTTTGTTGTAATTTCTTTTACTGGCTAAGTAAAAACTTAAATAATAAATTGTTTTAAGGTGTCTTTTTCGAAAAGTATAATAATGTATTTCAATTCTACTTAAAATTTATAATTACTATGCATATCTATAATAATAAAGTGCACTTATCTGCCTTCTCAAGCTATCCACATCGATTTTTTTGATATGGGGGTTTTGTGACACGTGTCCGAATAGGGTTGGTCCTGTGACTTTAACTGCTTCTACTTTAAACGGGTCTGGGTCACGATTTAAGCCCAAGTATCTGTTATTGGTTTTAGGCCCACAGGAAAGTAGGGTTCTTTCCCTTCTTCCCCATCGTTTCTTTTTCCCACGTCTGAGATTTCTGAAACAAAACACGACCTTTTCATTACCGTAACATCTCCCATCTCCTTAAGTCTCACATTCATTTCGACTTTCGACTTGATTAAGTTACGATTCCTTCTTTTCATTGCGGTTAAAACCTTCGTTTTCTTTCCACTTGGCTGCATCTCCCCCTATAAATATCTCTCCTTCCTACCATGAAAGCTCCAACTCTAAACAGATCTACAATCTTAGAAACTCCAACAAAACCCTTGCAATGGCTAATTCATACACCGTTCTTGCTGACCTGAAGGCTGGGCGATGTTCCAAGGCGGCGGAGATCCGACTTCTGAGATTCTGGGAGGCGAGGAACCTCACCAAAAATGGGCAACTGATGAACCTTGAGATGTTATTGATGGACTAGCATGTAAGTTTGTTTTGAGATTCATCGATTTTTTTTTAGCTAAGTTAGTCATGTATAAGTTAAGCTAAAGAGATTTCTCCATTTTTATCAGTTTTAAAATTACACGCAAACACTTAAGCAGTTCTATATGATTTACTAATGCTTCCCATTTCTTGATATATACAGGCTACGCTGGTCCAAGGATCTGTGCTGTACACCTTGAGTGGGTTCGATGTCACACGAAGCAGCCCAAAATAAAGGCTATCTGACGGTCCTATCTCCATTCGTTTCAACGAGGGGACTGATTCTCGGAAGCTGGCAACCACCTCAAGGATAACATTTCCTGGTTCCGACCTTTTCAACAGATCCATGAACTCGCAAATAGTGGGAAACAACTACCTGGTATTTTTTTTTCCTTTTATTAAAAAAACTGATTGGTAGGTTTTTCCCCATTAATCTTTGGGTTATACGATTTGCTAGACGTAATGGGTGAGCTTCTAGCGATCAAGAGCACCATAACTGACCGTCTTCCTGGGGCACCTCGAGTTATCTTGAGAGGTATGGAACGTCTCCTCTTAAACATTTCTTATTGTCGCTTAAAGTCACACAGTTCTAAAAATCTGTTCCTTTCATTATTTGTAGTGATGTCGAAGTCTGTGTGAGTATGTTTGATTCATTGGCTGAGAAATTTCATGACAAGTTTGATGGCTACAGGAAAGAGCCTAAGATTGTCCTGGTAACAAGCATCAATCCAAAGATAGCTTCTGGAAAAAGTTTATTTGACTTAGTTGTCTTTCCATTTGCAATTGTCGCGCGCGTTCTCCTAGATAAGAACGCTTTTTTTTTTTGACAGGCTGGTTATATCTGATTGGAACTTCTGCTACACGTGTTTTCTTTGATTGTGAGACTACTGTTGGGCAAGAGGCTTACAACCGGTAAGTTTACATTTCTATGCCTCTAACTTTCTTAAACTCTAATGGTTTCCACTTGATAGGTTTTCTTCTGCTACACGTGTTTTCTTTAGTTTTCAACGTTTACTATCTATTTCCGTTCATCCTAAACTATTTATTTTAAAATTTCGTTAGGGAATTGGTGTGAATGCTGAGGTGGACACTGATCTCCCTCGATCGCTTGCTGCTGTCGTCGATAACACGTACACTTTCCAGCTGAAGTTAACAGACTTCAATTTCACTCCAAATCACCAAACCTTTACCATTTCTCGCATCTTCCCAGCAAACGAGCTCGCACCCCTCCCCACCTTTGAGGTACATTTTGTTTATTTCCCTTCTATTGGTTTGTTGGTTTCGCAGTATATGAACGCATGTTTTAAATTCTTTATGCCAGGAAGGAGCAGTGCATGCTGAACCACCAGTCCATCTATCTGTTGCACCAGGTTTTGGCTCTAAAGGTATCAGCCCATGTAATGTCGCAGGGCAATCCATGACGTCTGATAATCCTCATGAAGTGCTGCAGACTGCTGTGAAGGAAGTCGATGATCCAGAAGGAAATGCAGCTAAGAAAGCAGAGTGGAATGAGTGTTCTTTATATCACCGACCAACCACGTTATCTCTACGAGTTCATGTTTCATTTTGTTGACTTTCGCGCCTTAGTTTCATTTTGCTCATTTTATCGGTTTGGGTTTTTATTTTTAAAAAACTGTGTCCTGTGGTTGGTCGTTTCTTTAATTTAATAAATTTTTCTATCTTAATCCAATCACATGGTTATAAGTGTTACACTCACGCTCAAAAAATCTTTATTCCTGTGTTTTAGAGCCTGTATGTAAACTGGCTTTCAAACATCTACCAAGCTAAGGCATGATGACAGTTAGTTTTGAAATTTACATATATTCAGCGATTCAAGCACACTTCTGTATTGTGCCCAATAGGTTTTAAAATGTAGTAATACGTTGTACCTTCTTCTTCTGAGTTATAATCCCTACAAAATGCCTAAAAGCTTTAAAAAAAGAAAACCAGATGTACCATTCAGAAAATATAGTTTAAAAAAAAAACAGCTGCCACGAGACTCTTCCAAATACGTACACGATCCACTTATGATATTAATTACATTTTCTACGAATAACTGATGTACCATACAGAAAATATAGTTAAAAAGGTAAAAAAAATTCAGCTGCCACGAAACTAATCCATTAACGTACACGATATACTTATGATCTTAATAATATTTACAAGCCTGATGCTGAGAAAACACAAACCAGCACTAGATATGTTATAGAATTATTTGATTAATATTTTTTGGTGGATTTAATTCAGAAACAATCTGATGTACGTACATGCTATCCTCAGCAAAACAGTAACCGTTGTATGGTGTCTATTGACCTCCCATATGCACTCTTCAATCATATAGTAAGACACTTGGGCAAGTATCATTAAATGTTCCAAACATCCCTTTGAATTCTTAACAATACAAATCTGATACAGAAGCCATAGCGTCGGTTCCTCTGCTTCATAGATTTTGGAAAAAATGGTAAAAAAAACACTCGAGGTGCCAATGAAAACATCTGAACGGAGCTCCTCATATGAGTACCTTAATTTCTCAATACCAGAGTTTAGTATAAGTAAAGTTTTTATGTTAAACTTCTTCGCCTCACATGAGTACCTTATCGTTCACATTTTCTTATCTTAATAAAAAAAATCAAATAAAAACTTTTCTAAAGTCAATGCAATCTAAATGATTATTACTTCAAGTCTCGGATGCTATACTAGAACCCATCACGAAAAAATTAGTATTCCAAAAACAAATAACTTCCTGAAAGGAAAGACAAAAATGGATACGAAGATCTTTTTCTTTTGTCACAAAAAATAAAACGCTTTGGATTAAGACCTAAGCTTACGAAACAACAAACAGTTCATTTTCATACAAAATCAACTATATTTACGATATCAATAAAAACAATTTTCATAAAACAAAAAATATATAACAAAACTTCTAAACCCGGCGCGTAGCGCCGGACCGCCCCTAGTGTGTAATAACGGAAGCATGAAGTTAAAAGAAAAATGGAAGCATTTAAATTAATGGGCTGGATAAATTAGTTGCATGCTGAGGACTTCTAAAATTATACAGTATTCTTTTACAGTAAGGATTTTATACAGTTTAAATTTATTTTCTTTTAAAATTCAGATCATTGAATTAAATGGAAGAAAAAAAACTAAACATCTCGATCTTGGGATAAAGGCAAAAAAGGGACCTCATAGCTAATCCTTCCTGCAGGGAAAAGACTACTAACGAAGTGGTACACTGACGCACTACTCACACGCCAAAACTGTGTAATTTTTTTTTTGATAAATAATCTTTTATAACGAAGTTAATGCTAGCACAGTTTGTTTTTTTTTTTATGACCGTTTATACAATCGATATATTTTTAAATGTAACAACAGACAAAACTAACACAAAAAATTATAACGGGAGAACTTGATATGCATTTGTACTAGAGGGAGAACTTGATATGCAATTATAACCTATTATACCTCTTGAATAAATCCGTGAAAATGGTTGTTTACATTCCAATAAAAGTACTTTCAATAGTAACCAAAAAATTAAATAGACCTTATATTTTGCTTGTTAATATTCATACTCAAATTGAAATAATGTTGATGAATCGTTGACGTAAAGGGGTTATGGAGGGTTTATGCCCTTGGTCGAGTGCATGTGACATGGAGTTGGCGCTTTGTCTCTTTGCTTTTCATGCCAACTCAAATGTTCCTTTTGCAATGCTTGTCTCCACAATGTGTGCTTGAAGTGCTCTTCTTAAATATAGCCCGCCATATACTATATATAAATAATTCGCCTTTCGCGCCTTCATACCAAATATATAGTATACAAATTAATTTGACCTATTGATCATCATCTGTTACATGTTTATATTATTTGTCATTTTAAAGTATTAGACTATTGGATATAACAAATTTCACAAAAAATAGGAGATAACAAATGGATGGAGTGTCAAAGTTCAGTGATTCTGATTGCATGTAGTGTCAATGCTCAGTCATTTTAACTTTTTCATTAAATGATCGATAAGATCGCAGACGGTGTTGTACGATTATTCTATTATACAGTATATGCTCAGTTATTTTTTTTTTACCTCGGTAGGAGAGACAAAAGAGGAAATGAGAAATCACGAAATTCAAAAGAATAAGAAATCATTACTTTTTCTACTGAATCCTTAGGGCATGTTCAAAGGGAGAACACTAAAGTGTGTGCTTAGGATTAAAATATTAGTAAAGTATTATATTTTGTCTAAGAACATGGGAAATAGTCAAAGGGAGATCATTTTGTTTAAGAGTGTGTTTAAACAAAAACATATCATCAGCCAATAACAATGCGCCACGTCGCTTAGAACAGAGCCCAAGCACTGATCCTATTTAAGACCTGTTTTAGTGATCTTGGAACACTTTTGTATAAAAATGCATTATTTTAGGCCCAAGCACACAGCAAGTGTGCTGCCTTTAAACATGGCCTTAAAACGGCCATATTGCCCAGCAGGTAACAACGTATGATTTGATTTGTTTTCTATATATGATCAAAAAGAGCTCTATAATTTAATACGACAACTGAAAAAGAACTCTATCGTTGGGAGAACAAAAGAAAGCATTTACCTCAGTATTTACGTACGGATGCATCATGTATGCATGGAGGGAAATTGAGCAGAGACTAGCGTGGAGAGAGAGAGAGAATGTGTAAAGTCCTTTTTTCCCTTAGTTTTTTTTCCCTTTGATCTTATCCCACTTTTAATTCAAATTAACTAGTTCCGTCATGTGTTTTTAAATTTGCGTAAGTTACTTCTACACAGAAAATAAGTTCCCAGAAACTACAAAAATACTTTTTTGTTTGTTTCCTTTTTAATCAGCATCAAAAGATAACAATAGTACATGTTTCTGACTGAAAAACGTATATGATAATTAATATAATACTAATTGAAGCATGTGATATACTTTTTTCACATTCATTAACAAATTCTAAACTTAAATCTTAAATCCAAATCCCAAACCTTACTCTTATAAAATCAATATATTGACATTATAATGAGCATCCCGGACACCTTCTCAATACGTTTGATTAGTTTCTATATGCGCTTGTTTTCTTGCCCTCTTAAGGTTTTTACATTTAATAATAACTAGTGCCATGAGAAAATTCAGTGAAAAAAATATATATTAGAAAAGAACTGAACACCCAAAAAGTATAAATTTCCTAAAAAAACAATTTTTACCACGTGAAGACCTGTTGACTGATTGGTATTCATAAATAGCAAGTGTCTATTTATGTAATTTGATACACATAATTGAGTAATGAATCTGTTTCTCTTAGCTTACTTAACCACTCCTCTATAATTAATAAAATCACAATTTAAAAGTTTGACTTATTTTACGCGACTTAGCAAATTCAATGGTTTGTGAAAAGACAATCCAACGAATCCCCTTTGTGTTTCCTTTCGGATCAGTTTATACTGTTCTCTCTCTGTAGAGGCAATCGTAATTTTAAATTATAAGTTTCATGTTCCTTTTTACCGAACTTTTATAAGTTTCAAGTTCTTGTTGATAAAAAAAGAAGTTTATGTTCCTTTTTTTATTATTCAACATAATTTTTTCTGTTAATAACGAAAAGCTAATTTCCATAAAACATATTAACTTGTTTAGAAAACAAAAGTTGCTTAGCATGTTGACAATAAAATATCAGAAAACATCTTTAAGAATCTTAAAAATCAACCGTTTAAAACCGTCATAATAAGCCAGCAAGTTGAAGCAGGTAACAAGTAACATCATATTTTTTGGTACTTTAACGTTATAGAATTGTCATGAACGTTAGTTACATAACTGTTTTTTATGTGAAACAGTTACATAACTGTTTATATATGATTCACTGGCCTAAAATCCTGGTGATAGACTAGATGCAACTAATTTCCACGAGCTATTTGTTTTGCATTTGTGTAATTAGTTGCCTGATAAATGATTCGATTAAAACCTACTAGAGATTTAGAGCCCTAATCTGCTGCGACAACGAAAACATCTTAATTAGAGATAACTATGAATTCTCTTTTCTGATGATCAAATATTTTTTTTGGTAAAAAGAAAAATTGGTGAAAACTGATTTCAGAGATATACCACACACACACACACACACAAACCAAACCTATTTTCTTTAGTTTGGTATACACAATTTAGATTTTTGTTCATACTTGTACTTAGATTTGTTAAATTCGACACAGTTTTTCAACAGAACAACCAACCGAAATTATAATTAATGTGAACTATAAGTCAAAAGCAACGTAACTATTATATGTTGCTATTCTAGTGTATATATATAGAGAGAGAGTTATAATATAGAGAGAGAGAAGTTTTGACCAAAAAAAAAAAAGAGAGAGAAGTTAACATAACAGAGAGTGACATATAGCCTATATGATATAGGTCATCATACCCTAGCAAACTAGTCAAAATATTCAGTAATCTATAACAAGGCCAAAAGAAACAGGTGGCCATACGCGTAAAATATGTCTGATCGATTGAAAACGTCTCTATCACTATCAATAAAGATGAGTTATTCTTTTTTAAAATACAAATAAAATTATGGTTTATTTACAAGAG